GAATTAATTATTCTCTGTGGTCGTGAGCAGGTCTGGGTGTGAAAGCCCAATAGGTAGGACTATCCAATACATTTTTGAAATCTGTTGCTTCTGAGTTCAGCGTGTTTTGTACACAGTTGCGTTTTCCACCTGATCCTCCAGAGGGCCCCAGAGGGCAGAAACCCTTGTTGGGGAGCTGAGCCCATTGGCTTGTAGCCTCATTAGCCAGAGACCCATTAGCCAATGAGATTTGAGCTTTTATTTGTTGGAGGAACTGTTACATTCTCTTTTAGAGCTCCCTAATTTTTCCTATTGCTTTTTTCAGCTCTCAACCTCTATCCAAAGGATGAAGAAGAATTTCTCCTTAGGGTCATGGTTGGTGATGCTAAATGTACCCTCCAAAATAGAAGCTTAAAAGGAATGAGCAGAAAACCTCAACGAAAGTTCTGTTATTTTCTTTCTGTACTCCAGTGAGGGTCACCTCAGAACCCACTGCTTCAGATGCTGGCTTTTCCTTGGAAGTGGAGTTGGGGAAAGAACATAGAGGTTGACCTGGGGGCTGTTTTGGCTGCAGGCATCTCTAATTCCCGTTGTCCTCTTGAAGCTTTAGTGGAGAGTGGGTCATGGGGGAAATCAGGACCTGACAGCCAGTGAGAGGACCTTATGTGGAGGGGTCACTGCCCTCTCTGGGCTGGAATTTCAGTGTAGAATGTGCTAGGCTCCGTACCAGCAGATAACAGGAGTAAGACACGTTGTAAGTCCCGGTTTCAGGAAGCTCCTCTTCTAAGCCCGACTCTGGGACAGTGTAGGGGAACTTATATTAGACTTAGCATAGTGCCCGTGCCTCCTGCCGAAATTCTCCCCCCAGCATCCCCGGCCTGGCCTGTAGTGGGCTGTTGTGGCGAGGGAGGCAGAGGAAAGGCTCCGGTGGAGGGTGTGTGCAGCGTTCAAAAGGGAATTTGATGGGAAAGATAAAGGGGGAATGGTTTTATCTGGCCTCTTCTAAGACTCGTCCCTGTCCCTCCCAGTCTATGTAGCCATAGATTGAATTGAGCCCTGAGGGCCCACATGGGTCTAAATCTTGCCCTGTGGCTGCCCAGATAGCATCACATTCTTATCTACCTGGTGGCTGTCACATATTTGGGGCTCCAGAATACACCTGGGTGGTATGAAGCCTCAGTTCTAAAGTTCAGTTTGTTTTTGAACTTAATCAAAAGAGAAGTTGCTTAAACAGTGGACAATAAAGCAATCGAGCCATTCCATAACAGAAAGAAGGTTACATATTGCATTTACAGAGCTCAAAAGAGTCATATAATTTCACAGAATTAAATTGGGATTTTAAAATAAGGTGACTGGTCAAATAAGGATGGTCACTGAGTGGAAAACCAGAAGATGAGTACCCTAGGGTTACACTTAAAGGTTTTCCTGCTGTGTGCGGGCACTGCTGCCTCCAAGGCTGAGGCCAAGGTGTCCACAGTGTCCTTGATCTCAGGCAGATACAGTTTGACCTTTCACCTACCTCCCCAAATGTGACGTCGCCGTGACCTGATCTAACAGAAATTCTGTTGAGATCTGAAAAAAATCTAGTCAGCAATCTTTATTTAAAGGCAATATTTTTTTCCATCCTGAAAATACTCTCTGCTCAATTAAAAAACGTTAGACACTGTAGAAGAGTAGAAAGGAGTCATCCACATTCCCTTTGCAAAAGAAAACCACCGTGAGTTCCCTCCAGCCTGATTTCCCAGCATGCGGGCGCCTGTAGTGAAGGAGGTGCTCAGCCACGGAGTCCGTGTGGGAGGAAGGAGAGGACGCAGCTCAGTGGCTGTTGGTACAAGAGGCAGCACCTGGGCTTCAGGAGCAGAAAGACTTCGTCTGTTGAAGCCAGCCTGAATGCAAGACGGACGGCAAGAGGACAGCCTATGGGAGCGCGCAGGCGGTTTCTTCTGATGCCATCTGTAATGTTGGAGCAACCCTCGTACCTAGTGGGGAGCCGTGAGTCCCTCGGGGTCTGGCTCATGACAGCCAGTGACCTGTGATGGGCCCTGCAAGATAGGCCTTCCCACCTCTGCTCGAACTGGCTTTGTCTTTCCTGTCGTAAGAACAGAGTTGAACTGGGCCCCGGGTTTGGTTCTCTCTGTCCCTGTGTCCTTTTGGAAAGAGATGCAAATTAATCTATATCCCTTCTGTAATGAACAACATAAAAAGTTCCATACTGGGGCCATTGGATGACTTCCCTTCTTGGAGAAATGAGAAAGTGAGCTGTGAGGGAAGGCTAGGACAGCGCTGCTCAAACTATCTGTAGTCAAAGTCCAGATTTATTTTTTTCTCAATCCATTGCAGAACAGTCCCTTTATCAAATACAATAGAAACAAATTACTAGAAAGATTAAAAGAAAAAAACCAGATTCAAGCCCAAATTTAACAGACTTAAAATTACTCTGTTGAATTGCTGTAACATTCCTAAATGCTTTTTCTCATTTCTGTGCTTCCTGGGACCCAGACTTGCACAGGACAGCAGACCACATGTGGGGTTTCGTAGGATGTAGGGATGGGTAATTTCTGATGGAGCTTGCAAGCTTGGAGGCAAAGTTTAAGCAAGTCCACCAGCGGCATAAACTATGGAAATGGCCACAAGCCCATGTTCTAAATTGCTTGTCTGTGTCGGTTTTGTAGGAGCTAAAGGGTATAGCAATGATCAAGACAAATAAAGTCCCTTTTCTCAGGGAGTGAGGTAGGGATAAAAAGTAAATATAAATACTAAGAAATTATTCACAGTAATGCAAAATAGAAGGTAAAAAGAGTAATGAGATTGATAGTGGGAAGGGAATGGGGCTACTTTAAGTATACTAGCTCAGGAAGTCGCCCTGAGGAAGCTGCCTATATGCACATATCCCAAATGACAAGGAGTCATATACTCAGAGATCTGCAGGAAGAACATTCTAGGCAGAGGACAGCAGGTGCAAAGGCCCTGAGGTAGAAGTATCCTTGGCACATTCACTGATAGAAAGGAGCTAGCGTGGCCTGCAGAGAGCAATATTGAAAGTTGTTTGGGGGCTGGCCCCGTGGCCGAGTGGTTAAGTTCGCGTGCTCCGCTGCCGGCGGCCCAGTGTTTCGTCGGTTCGAATCCTGGGCGCAGACATGGCACTGCTCGTCAGACCACGCTGAGGCAGCGTCCCACATGCCACAACTAGAGGAACCCACAACGAAGAATACACAACTATGTACCGGGGGGCTTTGGGGAGAAAAAGGAAAAAATAAAAAATCTTTAAAAAAAAAAAAAAAAAAAAAGAAAGAAAGTTGTTTGATGCGGCCAGAGTTGTCTTTGGGCATCATGTCATTTGACACTGGACAAAAGAAGAAGAAGCTAATTATAGACAATAAACTAAGTGTAGACAAGGAAAATGGTGCTGTGGGCAGCCCAAAGGTGAAGCCGTGGGAACAGAGAGTTGGGTTGCACCTGGGAAATCTGTGGGACCCAGAAAAATCAGGAGTCTCATCCATGACTGCCCAGAGACCTCTGTCTGGAGAGGAGGGGAAGAGGGGCATGTTTCTCTGTGGAAAAGATGACGGGTGAGGAGCCTGGGAGGGACGGGCTCTGGGGAGAGTGGCCTGGCCTTGTGGACAGGGAGGCCTTGAAGGGAGTACTGCCAAGTTTCCAGCAGTGGCTGGCAAGCAGCGGTCCCTGAGGCAGGGGCGCAGAGACAGCCTTGGGTGGGCTCTGTCACATTCAACTCAGCAAGCACTCTGTGGACATCAGCTTGGCGTTGGTGGCTCTCAGGGATTTCAACAGCGTGTGGCACATTGATGCTGGCGCAGCTGGCTTCCTGCAGCAGCAAGAGGGGTTCTTTGAATGCTGAGTGTTTGGGGGCCATGAAGACCAGCTAACCTTGTCATCTTGACACTTCCAGTGATGAAAGGGTGGAGATGGGCTGGTGTCTTTATCTCAAGTGACTTAAGAGTTTCTCTTCTGAATATTGTAGCTCCTGTTATACATTCCTCTCAGCTCTCCATCCACCTGACTCTTTGACCTAACTAGGATTTAAAGGACATTAAAAAAACATGATATTAGATACAGTAAGGTTTTCAACAGAGCAGACAAACGAGAGTGATCTATTTAGGGAAAAGGTACTACCATGTAGATCCACCCCGGCCAAACCGGAGTTACACTTAAAGCAGGTCCATCCCTCGGAAAAAGTATAATTTGGGATCACCTACCTCCCAAGGTCACCTAGAGCTTATGCTTGTAGAAGAAAGGAAGAGACGCCCATAAGCCCAACTTTCAATTTTGCTGTTTATTTTCCCACATTTAGAAAACGAGGGTGAATTTAGAAGTTTTGCAGTATCCGGATAGTTTTAAAAGCACCAGTTCTTTTTGAGATTGGACTTCTGCTCACCTTGTCAAGGAGAGGCTCACATGAGGGTCGGAGTGATGGAGCCTACTTTAATTGATTTAGACTCTAAAAATATATATATATAAAATATTTATTATGCATTTAATATATATTTATATTTTGTGTTATATATATTTATATAAATATTATATAATAGATTTACACTTTATTTTTATATATTAGATTTGTATATTTATATTATAATATATAATTTTTTTGTGGTAGCCTAATAATAATACAGTCATAACCTGTTAGAGCTGAAAGAACACAAATATGATTTTGTCCCTTCTCTTCTTTACCAGAAGAGGAGTTGGAGGTGATGTAACTTGCTCAGGGTCCTGTGGGCAGTTGGGAGCCGAGCTGGGACCAGACTAGTGATATTTAGTTAGTGCACTTTCTACTTTTATCAGGTGACTCCTTAATCTTTGAGTATTCCAAATGCCAAAGCTAGATTATAAAGTAGCACCTTTTCTTCTAATATTAAATGTATGGAGGTAGGTATGAATTTCTGATTAAGCTCCTTTCTGGGTGACATATGTGCAGATTTGATTCTTCTGTCACTGAAAACATTGCAATGATTAACTAGAGTTGGGAAATGTCTTGCATCTGGTCTGTTTTGTTTGGTGTTTAGGTTTTCCTAGAACGCTGGTTCAGGCCGAAGCCCTGGACAAGATCTGTGCCCTGGATCTCGTGATCACTTTGAACATTCCATTTGAAACACTCAAAGATCGTCTCAGCCGACGCTGGATCCACCCTCCCAGCGGAAGAGTGTACAACCTGGACTTCAATCCACCTCACGTACACGTAAGACTAGACTAAGCGCTTTCACAAATTGACCAGAGAGAGGCAAAACATTTCAGCTGATAAGTGGGTGAAGGACGTGAACAGACTGTTCAAAAAGGGGCAAGTCTACATGATCAACAAATATTTTAAAATTCTCATTCACTAGTAGTCAAGGAATACCAATTAAAGTAAAAATAGGATATCACTTTGGATCCATTGGACTTGGAAAAATTAAATAAGATTATAACATCTGCTGCTAGTGGAGATCTGGGAAAAATGGTACTCTCACCTTTATTAAGTATATAAAATATTAGTAGTATTTTTAAAAAGCAATCTGGGAATGTACATTAAAATTTTTAAATACATATTTCATTCACCTCACCTCTGGGAAGATAGTCCATGGGAGTGAAGTGCTAGTGGGTAAGGTTATGTACACAGCGATGCTCATTTCAGTGTTTTTTGTAGTGGAAAAAACAAAAACAAAAAACAAAATTTCAAACAAAGTGAATGGTCATCTACAGAGGACAGTTAATTAGAGGACATCCACATTTTGGAATATTACATAGTCAGTAAGAAGAATGACTTAATGACTTAGCGCTATGCTCTTTGACCTAGAGAAGTGATTCCTCTAGGTGTTGCTGAGTGAGAACAGCAAATAGCAGTATGATTCCATTGTTGTCAAACAGTGACCAGCCTCCTTGTCGTTTATCTGTTTGTGTGGTCAGGTGTGCTCTCTCACTGCATGAGAGCAGGGGCAGAGAGAAGAAGGCTATGTCCTGGGCTGGCAAAATGGTTTGGGCTGGGACTGAACCAAGAACTGGGGTCAGAGTGAGGGGTCATCTGAGCGGTGGGAGTGAGGAGGGAAGGGGACTAGGGAGGATGAAAGGAAGAAAAAGAAGTTCAAATACAAGATCTCTGCATTTTCATAAAATTAAATACATGTAATGGTGTATGTTTGAAGAAACTTTTTAAATTAACAAATTCATTTAAAGAGTTGGTTCAGTCTGATCATTCTTAGCTCCACTTATTGGGTGGCAGAAAGTATTACGTGTTATCGTCCACATGTGGAAGGGATGGCAGTTGTGTCTCCTTGGGTTAATGCTTGTGGAATAGATTTGAATGTAGACAGAGTCAGTGATTACGACGAGAGTCACATCGGTGGGGTTAGGGTGCCTTCCCGGCTCCTGGTGCCAGCGCTTCAGGAGACATCCAGTGAGTCTCGTTCATTCGGGCTAAGCACCAGTCTCCTTTTAAAGTCTTTTTTAAAAAAAATGTAAGTCATTCTGGAATTCCTTTATTATATCCCTTCCTCCCTTCCATCCTAAGAAGCTGGTGTGTGGGAGAAAATGGATGCAGAGGGAAAAAGAGCTCTGAAATAGCAGACGGGAGCACTGAGGCCCAGCACAGAGGCTTCTTCACACATTGGCTCTGTCTAGAGCAGCTGATGCAGATTGTCATGAACTTTGACTTTAACACTGCGTTAAAAGAGCACCCTAAAAGGGCACCTCAATGACAGTGTTACTTCTAAAGGCATCAGTGACAGTGCTTGTCTGGGCCAGCTCGACCAGCCGTGGTCGCCAAGCTCCCCGGAAGGAAGGATGCTGTTACCCTAGCATCGTTCTGCTCGTTCTGGAAGCAGGTGTATTTGCTGGGGTTCTGAAGTCCTGGAAATGCCTTCTGAGCTTTGCAGCTGTTGCAATAAAGGAGAAGGGCATGTAGGCGACGTACAGCCTTTTCCCAGCCCCATCCTCTGTTGTGTCAGGGTAACAGCCGTGGGATACACACGTGATAACTGGTTGTCTCACCAGTAAAGTGTAAGTATGAGTTATGTACCCAAGGCCCTGAGCTGTAATGGAATTTTAGTATGTTTCAAATTTATAGCCAGTTTCTAATTATCCAGTTGACTTGCCTGAGCCTTCTGGTTCTCTGCGAGCCTGTCTTTTGACAGATTTACTTCTTGTAACTGCCTCCCCTGGTGGGTGATGGCCGTGGCGGTGGGAGGCAGATTTCTGATGTGTCCATTTTGCTTCTTGTAAGTAGATATGGTTCCTAAGGAGGTTAAAATACATCAACAACCAGGGTTCTTTAAACTGCAGTTTTTCAGTTCTCAGAATGTTTGTTCCTGATTATCATGGGTATATGATTCATGCCTATTTTAATCCACTCTTAGGTAAGTTATTTGATTTAGTAAAATAGCCCGAGTAAGATGAATCTCGGAAAAGCTACGTGATAGAATTGGAAAGCCAGCAGAGATGGGATCAAAATTCTCCTGGATGAGTGTTCTTCCTAAGTAAACCAGTTGGTTCTTTGAGACATTTTGTTTTCCGTATTAAGCACTCAGCCTTTAGAAAGCAAGGCCATGTTAGCAGCATTTGGAGGGCCAGAGAGACATTGTCTAAAGGTTGTTTGTTTTGGGGGGAGGCCGCATGGAGTTCTACACTGTGAATTGTAAGTAAATCATTCATCAACAGCACTGGAATGTGTTTGGAAAGATCTGAGAAGTTAATAAACATTTCGGGTCACTTCTCATGAAATAAAGGTAACAGACTGTCAAGAGGGCTAGTTCTTTCTCAACTCCCTTCCACATTCCCATCATCACCCAGGCCCAAGTCAGCATGTGGTCGGAATCAAAGGGGAACACCTGGTTTTGCACAGAGAAGTTTTTACCTATGGAATGGCCCAGCTGCTGGCCATATTAACTGGTTTCTCTGGTGTTTGTAGGGGATTGATGACATCACTGGTGAGCCATTAATCCAGCAGGAGGATGATAAACCTGAAGCAGTTGCTGCCAGGCTAAGACAGTACAAGGACGTGGCAAAGCCAGTCATTGAACTATACAAGTGAGTGTCGTCAGTGTTTCCACGGATGGCCAGCTGGAGAGGGGTGGGGCTGGTGGGACGGACGTTGGGCTGAGGGCGGGTGGTGTTTCTTTAAGCTAGACATACCCTAAAGGCCCTGCCCCTCCCCTGAAGTCAGATGAAGTGCTGGAGTTGTACGTGGGAGAGGACGCCCAGTACTTTTATGCTGAAATTTTTATAACGAGGACCGAAGCCTGATCAGCTCTGTTTCCTGGCTTGTAAAATTACGTCTAGACTTATTTTCATTTTTCTTTTTAAGTGGCTGAAATAATGGTTTACATTTTGACCCTCCCACATGTAAATATCTGATTTGGAAAGAAGATTTGAAGGGACTTTTGCCTTAGACCTGTCTGGAGGGAGTTTAACAAAGAAAAGCTAAAACTATAAAGATTGCAAATTCAAATGGCTCCAGGGCCCAGGCGGGCGGTTGGATCTCCTCTGTCAAACCTGCTGGGGGATGTGTCAAGCTGGGCAGTTGAGTGGCAGTTGAACTGGCCAGCCCCTGTGCCTGCCCCAGCCGGTTACACCACAGGGGCACTCAGGCCTGGTGGGGTCCTTGATCCCTGTTTTTCCTGAGAAGCAGAAATCTGGCTTTCTGTTTGGGGAAAAAAAAATCCCAATTTTTACATTGGCACCCAATTAAAAAATTTTTGATAGTATGCAAGCTGAACAAAACCCATATGCCGACTGCATTCAGGACAGCGGTTACAGCCTCTGCTGTAATCAGTTTCTGACCTCGTAGCCCCCAGATAATTTTGCAAGCCTTTAGATCAGAGGTTCCTGATTATGTTATTATGATATTGTAAGTAATAACTCTAAGAAAGTAATAAGTAATAACCCTAATGAGTAATAACCCTAACCCCTAACCCTAATGTTTGTCGGTGATTTGCTTTTCAAAAGTGTGTATTGAGGCAGATTTGGGATTGTCTCTGTAATGTTATTCTTTGACATGTTTTAAAGGGGAGAAGAAAAGGTGGCCTCACGTGAGCGTGCCAGAACTGCAAACGCTTTGGCCTGGTTTAGATGTCCCCAGTGAGGGGTTGATCCACTTCGAGGGGCTGTTTGGGCACTTAGCGATGTGCGGCACAGACCCTGAGATCGCGCTGTGTACCCGCGCCGGGCTCCTCAGCTGCCCTGCAACCGTGGTAAAGGAGACCTAAAAGCCTTTGTGTGTTGTTTTTCAGGAGCCGAGGCGTGCTTCACCAGTTTTCTGGAACGGAGACTAACAAAATCTGGCCTTATGTTTACACGCTTTTCTCGAACAAGATCACACCTGTTCAGTCCAAAGAAGCCCAGTGAGCCCGCCCAGTGGCAGCACCGGGAGGATGTGGCCGTTCATGCAATTGTACGTGTAGCGTTGGTGCGTCCCAATTAGAAGCTAGCCGAGACAGCTCGCAGCGTCTTCTCTAGATTAAATGAACTGATGTGAAAACTAATGAATACAGGAAGAGTTCATGAAGAGGCGCTTCTCTGCCTTTCGAAAGAAGGGTCACCCTCACACGTTTAAGATGTCTCTCCTCAAGTCTCAAGCCCTTCACAAGCAAGCAAGGACAGGCCGGTTTCAGACGGTGTATACTCAAGCACGAGCTTAGTTTTGGTGGTCGTGTTGTTGCCATGGAAGCCTTTTTGCACATGACGGCAGTGGTGTCTGCTTCTCCCCCGCCCCCAAAGGCTGATGAGCAAGAGCACCAGAGGGCCTGAGAATGCCCGGGACTGTGGCCTGGGTCTGTCCCAGGTTCTCTGGTATGTGTCCTCCTGGTGACAATAGGATTGAAACCAATTGCTCTCAGTGGTCGCTTCCCTGGCCTTGAGTGACTGTGTCCACAATTCACTTTTTCTGTTGAGAGTGACACCTTCTTTTCTGCGTCTATGCTCTGTAGAACCTCTCCTTTCAGACATCCTGGAATGAAAGGATTTGGCTTCTGCTCTTTTTATTAGACTGTATTTTTTTTGCATCTCTTTCCTCCTTTCCTAGGCTACTAAGTCATATGGATAGTCTTTGCTTCTGTCCTTCTCAGATTCCTTTCTGAGAGCTGAGAGCCGGGGGACGAGGTCAAATCACTTCCTGCACCAGGAGCTGAGCTCTGCGGAGGGCCCCCTTAACCTGCTGGTCTGACTCTCATGGGTTGACAATGCTCCTTTCTTCTATTGTGGGAAAATAAAATCCTCAGAGTCTTTTGGGGATCCTCAAAAAAATGGGAAATATTCATTTACGTAAATGTTAAATGATCATATCTTATGTATAGAAGTAATAAGACCATATGGAGTTACTGGACGGAAAGGATAGTTTAGCTTTTTATTCAATACAAAAAATGTGTTTTAAAAATGCTGCTAAGTATTGATGCTGACGGTGTTTTCCTCTTTTGAGTGACCCAAGCATATTATAAATAGTTGGTAAAGGAATATGGAGCCTGGGGGGTTAAGGAAACAAGTTGCACTAGCTGTGCCTAGACTGAGTATGAGAGCTTTACTATTATGGGAAAACAAAATCTTAATTATTTTTTTTATTCCAAAGATGCTTTCTATAGGGTGGCCGTTAAATCTAGAAATATAGATAATACTATTTTGTCATTCATTGTAATGTAATATCAGTAAACCATTTGTTAAGGATTTGCCTGATTTCCAGACTTGGTGGCCACCTTGTTTACTTCTTGCTCTCCTCTGGGAAGGACAATGAAATTTATCCCTGTTGCCTTAAAAGTAAACATCCCTCTTCATGCATCCTGGCTGTCCCCAGGGAGGGTCCTTTACTATTCCTGGGAGTGACTTCAATGTAATCATTGCCTTTGGAGTTTTGGGAAAGGTACAGAAAATGGGAAATCGCCTGATCCTTGATTCCGTGCTGTACTCCTCCATCCTTCCTTCTTTCTTCCAGCAAAATAGACAATTAGAGCCAGTGCTGGAGTCACTCAGTTTGTCTCAGCAGTGTTTGCTACTTCTGGGATGGCCAGCAATCGAGAGTCCTTAGCTGGGTGAGACTGATAAAAAGACAAAGACCTTTTCTGTGGTCTTTGAAAGATGATGCTTGTTTCATGTTTAGTGGCCTAAAAAATCTATTTCTGATTTTCTTCAACAAATTCTAGTTTTTCCTTCAATGATTTTGTAAAAAACTTAAGTTTTCTTGAAAATATTTTGACAAAAGTAAATTAAAAGGCCATCTTTCCTCGGATTTCCCTGTACTCCCCCACACGTGGTTCCTTCACAGGTACACGCAAAGAGGAGATTGGGGGGGTCCCTAAGACTTCTCCTGTCCTCACAGTCTGTGACTCTAGCCAGCTGTGAATTCATTTTACTTTCCATTCTCCTGACAGGCTTCCCACTTACTTAGAACTGAAAAATGTTGCTATGTTCAAAACCCTCTAACACTAAGGCAAATAAAAAATAGGTACCGTTTGTCGTGGGCCTACTGAGTAATGTGTGTGGTTTTAGGACCTTTACAGACATCTCATGTAATCTTTCGAGCATCTGTGGAGATGCGCGCGATCCTACATTTGTCCACAAAGAAGGCAAAGGTCAGAGATGGGAAGCATCGTGCCCAGGCCCTTGCTGCCAGGACTCACACCAGGTGTTCCTGACTCTGCATTCTGGGTTTGCAGAATGGATGTTAACCCACTGTGTCCTGTCTCAGGCAACCCAGGGTGCGAGCTTGGTTTTGCTTAGGTTTCCGAATGGCCTCACGTCAAACATAACCGAGTTCCCTATGGTGACATTCAGCTCTCTGTGAGACTGCTCTTTTTATTTTTTCCCTTTGCTTCAGCAAGGGAAGCTGCTAGAGGAGAGTCTGAGCCATTGATCCTCCTCCATAACTACTCATTTATAAAGAAGAGGAAAGGCCGTCGAAGTGGGCTGGGCTCGGGTCCAGGCTAATCTGGGAGGAGGCAAGCTCATGCTCCTCTCCTACCGGCTTGGTGTCCATGGTGTTGTGCCCCTGCAGGGACCTTTACCCTGGAGCCACCCCCGCCACGGTGCTCACAGAAAGGCCTGGGCTCCTGGGAGCTATGCAGAAGCTACACACTTTTCTTCCCCTTGATCAGAACAAATCGCTCTCTTGCTCCTACCCCAAAACAAGGCCCTGATGATAAGCCGAGCCTTCCCAGAGTGCTGGCAGGTGAGCAGACGGTGACTGAGCACCTGACACAGGGTGACCTTTGACCCCCGTACCGTCTCCCTCTGTTACATTACACGTCAACATGATCGTGAATGCCAGATTCACACCTTTCCCCGCCATCTGGTGTGGTGGCACTGCCTGTCGTACATCATGCTGGCAGAACCAGGGGAGACGGGCTTCCTGTCTTCCCCGCCTCCTCAGGGTCACTCCCTGCCACCCTCCAGCAGCCAAGCTCAGCTGCGCTCCAGCTTCACCCAGGTGTGCCCCTCTCCTCTCGGTGAAGGGAAAAGGTCAGAACAACCACGAGTGAGGGAGGATTCTCAGAGAGAGCGGCTGCTGTGGCTTTTCCTGCCATTTGAAATGTAGAGACAGGATCATTTTAGATGGAAAGATGCCTGTGCAAATGGCTTCTATAAAATTTAGTTCACTGGAACCTGAGTTTGTTATTTGACTCTGACTATTTGTCTAACAGTTTACCAGCCTGCTGGGGGTCTTTGCTCAAATCGTGAAGAGTGCAAATTTCCAAATGTGTCAGGGGGTGGGCATGCGTAGTAGTTGCTGTTTATTGGCACTTCATGCTAAGCGCATTATGTGCATTGTCTGATTAAATCCTCAACAGCGGCCCTATGTAATAGATATTATTATCTCAATTATCTTGCCTCTTTGTATTTAAAAACAGAAATAATCGCCTTTACTTAAACTTGTGTTTTCATGTACGTATAGGGATTAATCAGGAAATTCAAAAGGGCCTTTTTAGTACTTTCCCTACTTTGAGCTCTACATTCTCATTAGTAGGTAAAAGGATGTATTAACTCCCCCTGGAATCTTTGCTTTCCGTGCTCTGGTGCTGAGACGGGAAATGGGCATTCAGCCGGTCCTAGTGGTAGTTGTACACTGTATATCCAGAGGGCATGTGCCTCGTCTGTACGCTGCTGGGTTACAGATCTCGGGAGGCATTCGTATCTACCTGGTGAATTTCATTTATTACCTTTCATTTAACAGACAGTGTCTTTTCTTGCTGCAGTGAATTTTGTCAGGGAGGCAAGTCGTAAGGCAGAGTCGGGTCATGGTATGAATTTGTTCCCCTCCATTTGTAGTAACTCCCTTGTCTATTTGGTGTCTCAGAAGAAGAACCCAGTGACAGAGACTCCTTTTAATACAGGAGTGTGGTCCAGTCATAAGTTATTGTCCCTCTCCTTTCATAACTGACCCAGTCCGGTTCCCAGACGAGAAAGAAGTGCGTAAGGCCCAGATGTCAGGAAACCATCAAGCTGTATTTCAACCAGGAAGCAAGTCTGCTTCCTGCGCCTGTTGAGACGTATTATAATTACAGTCATTCATAAATGCCGTAACTTATCTTTCTTTTAAAAGATTGCACGGTTCTTGCCAAAATAAATGCCGTTATCTGTATGCTTCAGGGAATTCCCCAGTTTGATCAGTGTGTGTGTATGAGAGAGAGAGAGAGAGAGAGAGAGAGAGAGAGAGAAAGAGAGAGATGGTAAGACATTTCCAAGAAGGTGGAAGCTCTCGTGGAGCATGGATATTCCATCCTTCCTTGGTGGTCATTAGGCTATTCCAGGAAGCACAGTGTCATTCTTTGAAATAAAAGATCTCCTGTTTAAAACTTTCAAAGGAGGCCCGCACCTTGAAGATGCCCTCCGGGGTTGGTGTGTGTCTAACTCCTTTTCATAAAACCTTGCTTTTCTTCATTTGAAAGCTTTGGCTATAAAGTCAGAAATGTACTAATAAAAAAACTGTCTTGTATTTAATTTAGAGAAGAGAAAAGGGAAGAAAACCGAAAACTCAGTCTTGATGTAAGCGCCCAGGTGTCAGGGTTGAGGGCTTTCCTAGTTTTATGAGAATTTGTACTACTGATTTTTATATGTTCTTGTTTTTGAGATGAACAGACCTCTGGGAAATGGTCGAGTTACATGGCGTTTCACTGTGACCCCTCTGAAGCTGAAGTCAGCTCTCTAACCTAATGACAACTTGCCTCCTTGGTTTACTGTCCTGTGAAATGTCAGCCAGTTTCCCAGACGTCGCGTGTTTACGATGAGTCAGCGCTGCTCCTGGTGTGGAAGTGTCGGTGCTCGGCGCTCCTGATTTTGATGTATGTGCTTCCTTCAAAGTATCTAAACCTGCAGTCTAATCTGTATATGCTTTCCTAACTGTTAATTGTATTATTGATTATTTTCTCTTGCTTGAAGATTGATTCCTACTTTTTAATTGATAGAAATAAAGGGTTTTTTTCTTCTGCTTATCCTAGTGAATTTATTTAACATTTGTGTAGCTTTTTACACTTGACGAAACACATCTTCACAGATATTCTCCTTTATGCCACTCTGCAACCACTCCGTTACCCACAGTGTTATCTCTGATTTGCAGATGGGAAAATGGAGAACACAGTGCTTCCGGGACAAGGTGACAGTTGGTGGCAGAGCAGGATCCTGAACCTGAGAGTTAGGACCCCCAGGCTCATTGTTTTCTACTACACCATGTCAGATTTGCGGGATAAAATTGTGGTCGTGCTACAGGTCTGAACTCAGATGTGGTGGTAGAGTTCAACAAAAAGGGATACTTGGATCATAACAAGGGTGAAACAGAAATCCCTCCAGGGGAGAAGTCAGGAACAAAAATGAGTGAAATGGGTGGGAGTGGGAGGCAGTAGGGAGTGGCAGGGACTGCGAGGAGCTGGGGCGGGCTGCTTTTCCCGAAAGGGGAGTCATTGCCTGGCTCTGGCCTATTAGCACCTTCAGAATGCTGGCCCAATGCTGCCCAACCATTCAATTTGTTAAGAGGAGCCAGAAATCTTTGTTTTTGTGTGAAATCTTATTTTTAAGTGTTTCCAATTTAAATTTTTAAAAAACGTTGCACAGGCCAAACAGCATATCACTTTAAGCCAATTTGGGACTTCTGGATTAGAGAGAGACTCGTAGGAGGTAGAGTGGGGGTCTGCGTGGCTAGACAGATATCTATGAAGTAAGGAGGCAGACTCTGCAAGAGCCAAAGAGCAGGAGTGGGGGATTGTCTAGATTTGACGACAAAAACAGTGTATAGTTATATAGAATTCTGCTTTATCAGAGAATACTGCCTACTCAAATAAATCACTTGAGTTTTTTACTCCAGAGTTCAACCAAGTGTGATTTTTTCCCCATATTCATTTCATCCAGTGAATATATAAGCATCCAAGAATTAAGTGAAAACCATACGCATACTTGAGGAAACCTACCTAAGCTATATATATTTGTGTGTTATATATGTGTGTGTGTGTGTATGTTTGTGTAAATAGAATTATATACACGTGTATACATATGTGCATATGTAATAGTTAAAATAAAATAAAAAGTAATAATATAAAAAAAAAACAGTTAAAATTTATTGACGGTTTATTCCGGGAGCCAGGCAATAGCCCAAGCAGTGTATGCCAGCTATAGACAATGAACCTGATGCTCAGGGAAATTAAGTTATTTGCTCAAGGCCACCCACCTGATAAGTGGTAGAATGAAGCCTTCAACTCCAGTGCTCACTTATGATTTTTCAGCTGTTCTTCCTCATTCTGACTCTCACTACCCAAAGACCCAGAGGGACCACAATTAAGGGCCCTGCAATCAAGGTACCTTTGGCCTTGGACAGGACTCCAGGAGTCAGGGTGGAGAACCCGGCCACTTGGAGATGACTAGGACCTGAGCAGTGTTGAGTCTCTCCTGTGGCCAACTTTTCTCCTAGCCAGGATCCTAGGGCCAACCCTTTAACAAGCCTTGAAGACATCCCATGGAAGGATTAGATCTCATATTGCATCAGGAGTTGACACCTTGCATGGCCCCATTCTAGGGCCGTGCACTCTGAGAAAAGAGTAAGATTTCTTGACAAGGAAGAATCAGGGATACAAAAATGAATGGTCCAGATCAGTAAGGAAAGACCACCACCTGCTTCACAGTAATGGTTCACATACACTTACTAGTCTAGATCCACATGACTATGTCATATACGTCAACCGTCCTGGGTGCACTGACCATTTCAGACTACTGTGGACATATTGACCACCAGGACATGCCAACTATCCTGGAACATTGGTCATATGCATTCATCACAATGTGGAAGCCTCCTCGCAGTCCGACAGGGTCAGGGAGAAGGGGGTGCAGACTAAAATGGCTTAGAGACCTGAATGAACCATCCTCTATAGTTTATCAGTATGAAAAAATGTTGCTGTTTGCCCCATTTGAAGCCAATAAAACAGCCCAATTATCTGGTGTTCATATGAAAGTCTTACCTAAAAATTTATGAAAATTTATCAATTGAAGTTAGGTAGTGAGGACTCTTTGTAGATAATGGAAGATAGCTAAAATCTTAATCTTTCTACACATCTTCCAAAAACAACACAGATCAAGGACAGCAACTAAAATCACAATTAACTCACTACATAGCACAATTGTGTCTACCACATAACCAGGAAATAGAAGACCGCAAACTCCCGTTTCATTTGAGTAGGGGAATATGTAAAGCCCATGTGGAAGTGAGAGTTAGGCAGGAATTATTTGGGAAAAGGATGGTGCAATGGGGTCACAGAGAGTCCCACACTAAGTGGAGGATTCTAACTAATGCTGAGAATAGCCATGCTGAATTAGAGCTCACAGTATTGGGGAATTGAAAGGAAATTGACTTGAAAGTACATGGACCTAAATGTGTAATTATTGAGAGGGCACATCTAGGAGAGAAGAAGGGGACTTGGAAGGAGGAAGCATCCCTTGGAGATCTGGTGATGAAGAGGGAAGGAGAATAAAGAAGTTGGTGGAAATTAAAGGTCCTTCAGAAATAAGAGTTCCATAAAATCTAAGACACAAAAGTCTCCCTAACCCTCCTCTTCCACTCCCCAAAAAAAAGATGCTCATTAAAGAAATTGGATTTCACCGTATCAATTGAAGAAGGCACTCCTTTTATTTTTTGTTTTTGAGGAGGAGGAATGGCTCTAAGCTAACATCTGTGGCCAATCCTCCTCTTTATGCTGAGGAAGATTGGCCCTGAGCTAACATCCATCCCCATCTTCCTCTATTTTATATGTGGGATGCCTGCCACAGCATGGCTTGACAAGTGGTGCATAGGTCTGTACCCAGCATCTGAACCGGTGAACCATGGGCCACCGAAGTGGAGGCCACAAACTTAACTGCTATGCCACTAGGCCAGCCCCTAAATAAGACATTCTTTTTATTTTTTTATTTTTAAAGATTTTATTTTTTCCTTTTTCTCCCCAAAGCCCCCCGGTACATAGTTGTATATTCTTTGTTGTGGGTCCTTCTAGTTGTGGCATGTGGGATGCTGCCTCAGTGTGGTTTGATGAGCGGTGTCGTGTCCGCGCCCAGGATTCGAACCAATGAAACACTGGGCCACCTGCAGCGGAGCGCGCGAACTTAACCGCTCGGCCACGGGACCAGCCTCCTAAATAAGACATTCTTGAATTAAGAAACTAGCAAGCCACTCAAACCCTTCAAACCCCATCTGTAGAAAGACCTAGTCCAGGAAAATCCTAAAGTCTTTAAAATGAACACAAAAAGGCAGTCAACGTCCACACAAACTTACTTTAAAGAGGAAATAAATTGAGAATCAAAATTCTTCAGCTGATGAAAACACTCAAGACCCAACCTTGAAACAGAAGAATCTGTAGCACAACACTCCAACATGAGTCAAATATTGTCAGACAAGACGTGAAATAACAGATACGAAAAACTGCCACCAGTCAGAAATTCACAAATGCAGAAGAGAAGTGGGCACAGAATAAAAATCCATGAAATAAGAATCGACTGAACACAGAAAAGAAAGTGAGGGAGAAGATGTGATCTCCAAAATTAGGACTAAATTACAAGATGCGCAAAGGAGAAAAGATTCAACAAAGGATACACAAGAGACATGGAAAAGTGAAATGAAAATTTCCAAGAGAATTAGACAAAATAAGAAAAATCGAAAAGCTCATAAAGAAAATAATAGCTATGGAAGATGAAGATCTAACATACCAGTAACCGAATTCTCTGAAGAAGAAAAGCAAAACAATAAACCAAAACCAACATTTAAAGCTGTAACCCAATAAAAACTTAGCAAAAAATAAATAAATGAAAGAAATCCTGAATCTATATACTGAAAAGAACACTGTGGAACTGTGAAAATGGACTCAGAATAGTCAACTTTAAGATATATTCTACTATGTCCAGGAAAACTCCTCTGAGCCTCCAGGTAAAAAGACCGAGAGATTCAATATACAATTGGAAACAACAATGGAGCAACATTTTCATGGGAAAAAAGCATGAACCAAGGATTTTATATCCAGCCAAGCTGACCTTCAGTTACCAAGCAAATGTGGCAAAAATGTTCCTAGTTGCTGAATCTTGGTGAAGGGCACCAGGGGCAGTATTCTTTTAACTTTTCTGTAAATGGGAAAATTTATCAATGCTAAGTTGGGGAAAAAAAATTTAAGTTTAGAAAAGTATTGACTATTTACTGATCTCTTAATTTCTCCCTCTCCCCGTCCCTGGCAACCGCTAATCTACATTCTGTCTATGGATTTGCCTATTCTGGACAATTCCAGAATAGAAATGTCTTATATAAATGGAATCATGTAAGTGGCCTTTTATGACTGGCTTTTTCACTTAGCATAATGTTTTCAAGGTTCATCCATGTTGTAGCATGGATCAGTACTTCATTCCTTTTTACAGCCAAATAGTATTCTATTGTGTGTATGTACACCTTTTTATTTATTTGTTCATCAATTGATGGACAGTTGGGTTGCTTCCGGTTTTTGGCTATTATGAATAATACTTCTATGAACATTTGTGTATAAGTTTTTGTGCAGACATGTTTTTAATTCTCTTGGGTATACACCTAAGAGTCAAATTACTGGGTCATATGGTAACCCTACGTGTAACTTTCTGAGGAACAGCCAAACTGGTTTCCAAAGTGGCTGTGCCATTTTGCATTCCCACCAGCAATGAATATGGGTTCCCATTTCTTCACATCCTTGCCAACACTTGCTGTTATGTCTTTTTGATTATAGCCATCTTTGTGGATGTGAGGTGACATCTCATGATTTTGATTTACATTTCCCTAATGATCTCGACCATCTTTTCATATTTTATTATTGGCCATTTGTATATCTTCTTTGAAGAAAAATCTGTTTAAATCCTTTGCCCATTTTCAAACTGAGATATTTTTGTTGTTGAGTTGTAAGAGTCATTATGTATACTGTATACTAGACTCATCACATATAAGATTTGC